TGCCATGTGGGTGCTGGGAATCAAACCTGGGTCCTCTGCAAGAGCAGTCAGTGCTCTCAACTGCTGAGCCATCTCTCCAGCCCCAAGCAGTAGTTTCTTAGGTAGAACATCCAAACCTAAGGAGGAGAAAGAAGAGGAAGAGGAGGAGGAGGGACCATCAATTTAAAATCTCTGCTTTAAAAGACAATTTTAAAGAAAATGGGAGAAAGTCTTTCAAATACTATGTCAAGGGTCCAGTCCCTATGCATAGAGGTGTCAGCCACAAAGTGTAGCTGCAGGACCCTGCAAAGAGCATCTTGGTCCTCTGCTGGCCATGTGTAGCATGACCTGATCTGAGGCAGGGCTGGGCGTGAAGGATTTTTACCTGAGGTGAGGGATGAGGAGGAGGAGGCAGAGGGTGAGGAGAGGAGAAGTAGAGAGGGGAGGTGTAGGTACATTGTACTTTAGTAATAATATGAACACCGGACAGTGTATTTGTTTGTTTGCACTGTCATAACAGTGCACCAGAGATGGAAGGGTCCAAATAGCTGAGGTCTTCCTTCCTAGTTTTCAGATAACTACCTTCTGGCTGTAATCCTCACAAGGTAGAAAGAGCTCTTTGATATCCCCTTTTTAAAGATATTTCTTGGGATGTTTGTGTGTGTGTGTGTGTGTGTGTGTGTGTGTGCATGCACACTCAAGTGCACCTGTGGGGGTCAGAAGAGGGCATTGGGTGGCCTCCTCTCACTCTCCACCTATTTCTTTGAGGCAAGGTCTCTCCCTGAATCTGGGGCTCACATTTTCACAGGTTAATTTTCACATCAAGTCCCAGTGATACTCCTATTTCTAAGGAACTGGGGTTGCAGATATCTGTAGAACTCCTGGCTTGTTATGTGGGTGCTGGAACCTGAACTCTCATCCTCATGATTGTGCAACAAGTGCTCGTAACTGCTGAGCCATCTCTCCAGCCCTCCCCTACATAGGCCACTTGCCTTCTCTCCTAACAAGGACACCAGCCTTATTCAATCAGTCCCTCCCCACATATGACCTTATTTAATCATTATTACCTTCTCACAGGTCCCATTAAGGATTGGAGCTTCCACATGACTGCGGCTAGGGGAACATAATTCAGTCTATAGCAACAAGAATAATAGCTATTGCTAGGTGTGGTGGTACATGCTTTTAATCCCAGCACATGGGAGGCAGAGGCAGGAGGATCTCTGTGAGTTTAAAGCCGGCCTGGTCTACATAGTTCCAGGTCAGTCAGGGATACTTAGTGAGACCCTGTATCAAAAAGAAAGAAAGAAAGAAAGAAAGAAAGAAAGAAAGATAAGTGAAACATCCACCTTGCTTTTGAAGATGGTGCATAAGTTACTTTTCTTGTTGCTCTAACAAAATACCCAACAAAGGCTACGAAGGAAGGAAGGAAGGAAGGAAGGAAGGAAGGAAGGAAGGAAAGAAGGAACGGAGGGAGAATAATAACTATCAAATGATGGCTGAGGTATTTAACAACCTACTCACCCAATTAAAAGTTATAGTCCCACAGGCTGGAGAGATGGCTCAGCGGTTAAAAACACTGGTTGTTCTTGCAGAAGACCCGGGTTTGAATCCCAGCACCCACATGGCAGCTAACAACTGTCCATAACTCCAGTCCCAGGGGATCCGACAGCCTCTTCTGACCTCTGTGGGCATTGCACGACACGGGTGCACTTACCTACATGCAGGCAATACACACACACACACACACACACACACACACACAAAATAGAAATAATAAATTTTTTTAAAAGTTAAAGTCCCAATTTATACAATTTTGGGATTTTTTTTTGTCTTTTTTTGAGACAGGGTCTCCTTGTAGCCCCAGCTGTCCTGGAACTCACTATGTAGACCAGGCTGGCCTCGAACTCACAAAGATCCGCCTGCCTCTGCCTCCCAAGTGCTGGGATTAAAGGTGTGTACCACCACACCCAGCCCACTTTTGGGATTTCTATAAATATTCTACCCATGGCCAATGTCAACCAGAATGAATGGTGTCAGGAGACACACAGTAGCAACTATCACCTGAGGATTCCACATTCAGATACATAGACTGAGAAAAGAGCACAGATAATAGTAAAATGTAGTATAGGAATTAGCAAGTGGTGAAGCTTTTAGTAAGATGTGATTGGAAGTAAATGTAATTAAACTTTGTGCTAGAGGCTGAGTTTAGCAACAAAGTTTCTGCAGATGTAACAGCTCGCCCTTGCAGCTCTACCATGCATGGAACTGCATAGTTCTGGATGTACATCAACTTCTTTGTTATGTTATTGTTTTCTTTTATTGATATATTTGTATTTGTGTATTTTTATTTACCTGACTTGTGTGCATGTGCAGACCTTGGGTGTATTGGGTGGGGTACACATGCATGCATGTGCATGTGGAAGTCAAAAGACAATCTTGGGTGTTATTTCTCCAGTACCTTCCACCTTTTGTTTGAGACAGGGTCTCTCATTGTCCTGGAACTTTACCACATAGCTTCAGGCAGCTGGCCAGTGAGTTCAGAGATGCTAGTAATGTCTCTGCCTCCCATTACTGGAATTACAAGCATGCATTACCATGATTGGGTTTTTATGTGAGTTTTAGGGATTGAACCCAAGCCTTCACACTTGTAAGGCAAATGCTTGTTATATAGCTCAAGTTGTCCTGAACTCACTAGGTAGCCCAGGCTGGCCTCAAACTCAAGACACCACCCCCCTACATCCCCTGCCTGAGTCTCCCAAATGCTGAGGGTACAGAAGTATGCCTCCATGTTTAGCTTACTATTTTCATTATAAATGCCTACAATTAGGGGGCTGGGGAGACAGCTCCATGGGTAAGAATGCTTGCTATGAGAACCTGAGTTCAAACCCCCAGTACCCATTCAAAAAGTTGGGCAGGACTGCATGTTGTAATCCCAGAATGGGGAGGCGAAGGCAGATCCTGTGAGATTGCTGGTCAACCAGCCTAGCCAAAACACTAAGCTTCAGGTTTAGCAGGAAACCTTGTCCTAAAGGAGTAAGAAATGAAGGAGTGACAGACACCTGACATGTCCCTCGGGCCTCCAAATGTGCTCACATATGCACAGCCACTTGTATGTACACACATGCCCACGAGCATGCAACATACTACATACATTTATACAAAACAAAAAATAAAAATGCAGCAATTAGCTGGGCGTGGTGGCACACGCCTTTAATCCCAGCACTTGGGAGGCAGAGGCAGGTGGATCTTTGTGAGTTCTAGGGCAGCCTGGTCTACATAGTGAGTTCCAGGACAGCTGGGGCTACAGGGAGACCCTGTCTCAAAAAGACCAAAAAAAAAAAAAAAAGCAGCTATTTGTTGAACATCTATGTTGTTATAGGTTATGTTCAAGCCACAAGCATTTCCCTGTGTTAAGCCTTACTGAATCCTCATAAATGTGTTAGCTTTCCATCGCTGTAACAAATACTTGAAACAATCCCTATCATATAAAGAGAAAAGGTTTACTTTGTATACTATTTTGGAAATCTCAGACCACGACTGATTGAGCCCTCTGCATTTGGGCCTGTGGAATGGCAGCACTTCATGTAGAGCAGAACTTCTCACCACACATCCAGGAAGTATAAGAGGAGAGAAGGGGCTGGGGTCCCACTCTCCTCTTCAGTAGCATGCCTCCCAGTGCCTCAAATACTTCCCACTTGATCAACTAACAACCTCCCCTGAAGTATCATTGTGAAGATGAGATTGTAGTCCAAAAATAGAAATAATTCTTGATGTTTCAGACAGAAGAAGATTTAATACTTGGGATTAGTTATGAAATGACAGGGCCAAAAAAGCAGATGTTGGGGACCTGTGGTGAGATTTCAAAGTCATGACACAAGCGTGGTGATTCAACTATGTGTCAAGAAAACTAGAAAACCATTGCCAAGATCACAACTTCCCAGACCCATGAAGCTTGGCAAGAGCTCAGTGGAACATAGACTGGGTCATGGCAACAGTTTACATCACTCAGAGCTTGTGCATCACATACCACTGTTGCCTAGAGAGTGGTGCTTTCTTCACTCCATCTTCTAGCAATCACATCTCACTGGCAGAACCCAAACCCAACTATCAGTGCCCTAAAGAAAGAGGTCTCTGGGAGATGGAGCTTTAAGCCTCTCAGCCCTGGCAACGCAATTAGTAGAGGATTAAGTGACAGAGAAGTAGCTTGTGTGTGAGTGAAAATAGAGACTGGCTAACACCATAGCAATAGGAGAGATTTTGCAATAAAATTGTTATTTGGCTCTAGCAATGGTGGTGTCTGTCTGCAATCCTAGCACTAAGAGGCTGAGGCAAAAGGATCAAAGGGGTCAAGGCCTGCCTGGGCTACAGGATGAGCTCATTTAGCCTTGGCAACTTAGTGAGATTGTCTCAAAAGAAAAAGTAAAAAAGGGACCATTGTAGTGCTTGCTTATTAGTCATGAAGCTTTAGATTCAATCCATAGTACTGCAATAACAATATTAATAAAAAATAATAAATAGATAAAATTACAAGAAATATGCTGTTTACATTTGGTTGTGTGTGTATGTGTGTGATGTATGTGTTCATGTGGATGTGGGTGTATGTGGAGGCTTTAGGTGGGTATCAGGTATCTTCCTCAATAGCTCGCCACCTTATTTTTGGCACTGAATCTAGAGTTCACCAATTCAGCTAGACTGGCTGGCCAACAAGCCCTAGGGATCCTCTTGTCTCTGCATTCCCGGGGCTGGGATTATGCACACACCACTGCACTCAGATTTTTTTTTTTTTTTTTTTTTGGTCTCTCTTTTGAGACAGGGTCTCTTGTAGCCTCAGCTGTCCTGGAACTCACTATGTAGACTAGGCTGGCCTGGAACTCACAAAGATCCCCCTGCCTCTGTCTCCCAAGTGTTGGGATTAAAGGCGGGCACCACCACGCCCGGCTGCACTCAGCTTTTTTATGTGGATGCTGGGGATCTGAATTTAGGCCCTCATGCTTAACACAGCAAGAACTTTATCAACTGAGCCATCTCCTCAACCCCAAGATTTGCAGTTTTGATATAACAAAGTTAAAAAGTTGGCAAGTCCTCTCCCCAGATAGCAGCTATGAGTCTGGGGAAAATAATCAAAACAGCAAAAAAGACCAAAGCAAGAGCCCAATCCTCTTAGTGCTCTGGAAATTTCTCAAATGCACAGATTAAACTAAATATTTATGGAAATTATCGATGTTAGATTCAAAGAGCAGAAGCCATGACCATCTTGCTTGGGGAAACTGCTGTTCACCTCTTTGTTTCTTTTTGCTTTCAGAATGACCAATTCTTACTGCTCCATCTTCAAGTTTGCAATTATTTGTTTATTCTAGTCTCTTAATTCTGCCTTTGGTGTCTTTAGCAGTGTTCCTCTTTGGTTACTATGCTTTTCAATTCTAGACTTAGAATTTCCATTTTGCTGTTCTGTATAACCTCTGTCTTCCTTGAGTTTCTCTATTTGTTGATTCATTCCTTTCCTGCATTTCTCTTCGCTCTTTAACTTTTCTAAAATTTAACCTTTGAACTTACTTAGAATCTAGTCTTTGAAAGCTTTGTCTGCTAGGTCCAGTATCGGGGGACATTTGGGTACAATTTCTACTGAGTCCCCCCACCCCTTTTTCTGAATAAGGGTCTTTGCATATTTGTTGAATACTTGGCGTTTGAAACAGTACTGTACAGACTCGGGATTTCAGTTGGTGTTTTTGGTTTGGTTATTTGCAAACCTTGTCTCTCTAGCCATATGTGGTTCTTTTGTATTTATTTTTATGTGTAACTCTTGTTTCCCAGGTTTTGCCTCTGTGACTTCATACCTGAGCATTCAGCCGAAGGTTTGCCAGATTATACTCAGAGCCAAATACGAACCCACCCTCGGTTGAGAGATCTGTGTTTGAACAAAGGAGCAGATTTTAACCATGGCCACCTTCAAGTCTCCTCTGGCTTTGACATTGTGTGAAAAATTGGCCTGGGGGCTGGATGGATGGCTCAGCAGTTAAGAGTGCTTTCTCTTCTTGCAGAGGACCCAGGTTTCTAGCACCCACATGATGGCTAACGACGTTCTGTAAGTCCAGTTCCATGGAATCTGATGGCCTTTCCTGGCTTCTGCTGGCACCGCATTCACATGGTAGACTTACACACATACAGGCAAAACACTTATACCCATAAATAGATAAATAGATAAATAAATATTTAAAGAATAATGTCTTAGGTCTCAAAACATTGACCACACAATTCAAAGTATTTTGGCAAGGCAAAAAGTTTTACTTCTGTAGAAGGGTGTGTATCCGTGCCAAACCAAGCAGGCATGCATGCTTAGCAGGGCCTCTGTTGGGTTTTTATACATAGCAAAAATGTTCTGTGCCTCATTCTGAGTGACATTCTAGAGGATTGGTTAATTTAAAGTGGTCCAACTGATAAGCAGAATGCAATTTTGAGCACAGAGGGCAACTCTAAGTATATATTTTGATTTCAAGGGCTGACCCTAGAAGAATTTGAATCTCTGCCAAGTGGTTTCTTTATATCTTTTGAAATGAAGCTTTGTTTTATTGAACCCTTAGATAGAAAAGACATTATTTTCTTTCTTTTTTTTTTTTTCGGTCTTTTTGAAACAGGGTCTCCCTGTAGTCCCAGTTGTCCTGGAACTCACTATGTAGACCAGGCTGGCCTTGAACTCACAGAGATCCACCTGCCTCTGCCTCCCGAGTGCTGGGATTAAAGGCGTGCACCACCACACCTGGCCAGAAAAGACATTTCTTTTACACTTCCCATGACTGGGAGAGAGAAAAGGAAATGGGGGGAGAGGAAGAATGGAAAAGAGAAAAGAGAGGCAAGCTTTCTGGTGTCTCTGATTACAAGGCACTAATCCCATCACAAGTACCCCACCCTCATGACCTCATCAACCCTAATCACTTCCCAAAGACTCCACCCCCAAACACCCTTGCCTGTGTACATGAAGTGCCCAGGGTCTGGAGAAGAAACTTTTCCAGCATAACTGGACATGGGATCCTGATGTACTGTAATTCCAAATACCCTGTCGGTAAGGTCCTGGTTGAGACCTCAGGTAGATGGGAAGGATCTAAGAAGGAATGATTGCTGGGCTGATGAGAGGAAGCTGAGACTATGGAGGAGCGTTTGAATGGACTTCTGTGAAGTGACTGCAGCTGTCTCCTTCACCTGAATGTGTTCATAGGATGAATGTTGGGTCAAACTAGAGACCACACTACCTACTGTGAGACAGAAGACGTAAACTTAAAAGTTTGCTCTTCTGCCAAACCAGCCACACTACCTTGAGAACTGATAGAACTACCTAAACCTATGCATGCCATTAATTTGAAACAATACAGAATACCTGCTTTGAAAAGAGATGATCACTTTAGTTAATGACAATGTTAGAAGTTGCAGTTTTAACATCAATAAATTCTCTTCATACCACCATGTGACCCACTAAATTCGTAGACCTGCTAAGACTGGGGTTGATGGCAAGAGTCTTTGAGTGCCACCCAGTGGTGAGCACTGGGATTTTGGACAAGGACATTTCCAGACCTGTTGCTTGCAAGTAAACATCAACCGAACTGCCTCTAGGACTGAGCGACCTAAAGTAATATTGAAATATGAAATACCTTCAAGGCCATGAGTGATGGCAGAGACACATTCCAGGGAAGGCAGGGCCGAGAAGAGCTTCACAGTGAGATGGAACATCCTACTGAGGGATGCAAGGGGGAGGTCAGAACATCTATGGATAACCAGCTGAGGGTCTTCCAGGTCTGTTGTCACAAGGATGGGACCCTTTGAGCAGCACCCCCCGAAACCCACACAGAACTGCTCGGTTATGGATGGTAGTTTCAAGGTTATGGGTAACAACTGACCCCAAGGCCACCGTGCCATGACCTACTAATGAAGAAATGCTGAATAAAGGTAGTAAGAACAAATCCACCCAAAGAGATGACCTCCTTGCTGTGGTGGAAGGATTGTACAACATTAGCAGCCCTTGTGTTAGGATTTCACTAACTCATCAGCAGTGACCAGTGACCTGGCCATGGGGCCAGACAGATGACAGAGGCCTTAGGTTCAAACCCCAGTACCACCAAAATGATGATGATGATGATGATGATGATGATTGATGTGGTGGTATTGGTGGTGGTCATGGTTGTGGTGGTCGTGGTGTGGTGGAGAGTGATTGACAAAGATACTCATCATCAATCTCTGGCCTTCATGTGCACATGTGCACACACATACACACGAACACACACAAACACACATAAAAGAACTCTTGTCTGACAGCAGAGGCAAAAACTACAAAGAACTACAGGATAGATTCCCCAGAGGAAGACCTGGGGACCCAGCTGACAAATAGGATACATGGGACCCATGCTAATAATACCCTGGGGGGCTATAAATGAGTTCTTGCAGGAAGAGATACTTTGGACTGGGCCTTGTATAACTAACCATACATGAAATGTTCAAAGTATGATAAAAGTGCCAGACAGAAGCTAACTGTACCATTTTATACTGTGATGAAGTTCCATTTCTTCAGAACAATGAATAGTACACTTTACAATCCACATTAAGTCAAAAATATTACATCAAATGGATATATCCTAGTACATCTTCAGAGTGGTGGTTTCCTAGAGAATTGAACTGAACAATAGTATTATGTGTTCTCTTTTTAACTTTTATTTTATGTGCATGTGTGTGTGTGAGGGGGATGAACATATGCAGTGGCACATATATGGAGGTCAGAGAGCAACTTGTAGGAGTCAATTCTCTCTACCATGTGGGTCCTGGGGATAGAGCTCAGGCCATCAGGCTTAGCAGCAAGTGACTTTACCCCCTGAGCCATCTACTTGGACTTGTATTTATTATCTTAAATGGGAGAAAATAAAAGTATGAAGGGCTTGTTGACACGCTGTTATGGTTTGCCTATTAAATGTCCATCACAGGCTTGTGCATTCAACACTTGGTTCCCATCTGGTGACGCTATTTTGGGATGTTCTGGAAACTTTGGAGATGGATTCTAGCTAGTAGAGGTAGGTTGCTGGGGCATTGTCTTGAGGGACTTATATTTATTTTCTCTAATTTCTGTCTACCATGAGGTGAAGATGCTCCTCCACCAGAATATTCTCCCCAAGTGTATAGGGCCAAGCAACTACAGAGGGAACCATCTGAAACTGTGAGTCAACATAAACCTTTCCTCCTATTAAGGTGTTTATGTCAGAGGGCTGGAGAGATGGCTCAGTGGTTAACAGCACTGGCTGCTCTTGCAGAGGACCTGGGTTCAATTCCTAGCACCCACATGGCAGCTAACAACTGTCCTCTTTTGACCTTTGTGGGTATTGTACAACACGGGTGCACTAACATACATGCAGGCAATACACTCATACAGAAAAAAAAATAAAATATAAAAAATTTTTAAAAAGTTGTTTATGTGAGGTACTCTGTCACAGTGATGAAAATTCTGATAAATATAGATGCTCTGTGAATATATACTCACACTCAACATGATTTCCCCATTATTCAAAATAATATCAATCTGGGGGCTGGAAAGATGGCTCAGAAGTTAAGAGTGTATACAGAGACCTGAGTTCAGTTCCCAGCATCTGCGTTGGGTGGCTCACAACCGCTTGTAACTTCAGGTCCAGGAGAACCAATGTCTCTGGCCTCCACAAGTACCCGCATTCATGTACACATACACACAGGCACACACATATACACATAATTCAAAATAATATAAAAAATCTTTTTAAGGAAGACAGTATCAATCTGACTCTCCTTTAAACAATTATTTATTCATTTCTATTTTATGTGTATGAGTGTTTGGCCTGCAGGTATATAAAAGCACCACAATGTGTTTAATGACCTTAGAGGCCAGAAGAGGGCATCAGATCTCTCAGACAGTTGTTAGCTGTCATGTGTGCTGGAAACGGAACTTGGGTCCTCGGAAGAGCAGCATGCTCTTAACCACTGAGCCGTCTCTCTAGCCCCGCTCTCACTCTCTTTTTAATGTGAGTGAAGTCTTTAGTGATATTCTGTCTTTTGTTAACAACGGTGATGATTTCTTTTCATCTTTAAAGTTGTTTTATTCATGTGTATGTATGTATGTATGTATGTACGAGTGTTATGCTATGAATGTGTGGGTGCCTATGGAGGCTGGAAAAGGGCAACAAATCCCTTGGAGCTGGAGTTCAAGTTGTTGTGAGCCATGTGAAGTAGGTACTGGGAGCAAAACTTAGGACCCTTGCAAAAACAGCACATGACCTTAACCCCTGAGCCATCCATCCAGCCCCTCTTTCTATTATCATTACATTTATTACAGTGCATACATGGAGGTCAGGGGACAACTTGTAGGAATCGGTTCTCTCCTTCCACCATGTGGGTCTTGGGGATCTAATTCAGATCCTAGGGCCTGGTAGTAAATGCCTTCACCCACTGAACCATTCCATTTACCCATGACATTGGTGATTTCTATCCCTTCTCCCCTGTTAGGGACTAAGGATTGGCCAATTTAGTTAATCTGTTCTAAAAACCAACTGTTGCTTTTATTGATTTTTCTCTAGTGTTCACTGAGTTCTGCTGTCTTTCAGTGTGCCCCTCCACCTGTTTGTTTTTGAGTTGTTTTGTTTCTTAGGTTCTCAAGATAGAAGTGTGCCCTTTCAGACATTTCTTCTCAGGCAGACTTTCCATGTAAATACTGTCTTGCCTGCCTCCAGCAAATTTTGAGACATATTTTTATTTAGTTTCAGTTAAAAAGCATTTTTTAAATTGGTTTTGGTGGCTCCCACCTGTAATCCCAGTACTTGGGAAGTGGAGGGCAGGAGGATCAGGAATTTAAGGCCATTCTCAGTTACATAACAAGTTTGAGGCCTATCTGAAGTTACTGAAGACCCTGTCTCCCCGCCCCCCATATTTTCTTATTCTTTTAAGATTTATTCTTTGACCCAAGGATTCTTTAGAAGTGTGTTAATATTTTTAAAGATTTTTTTTTTGTCTTTTTGAAGCAGGATCTCCCTGTAGCCCCAGCTGTCCTGGAACTCACTATGTAGA